CTGCAATGAATTTGCATACTTACACCTAGTGGTGGGTCTGGTCCCGCTCCGATGTCGATTACATTCTGGTACCTCCATCCTCGTACCTTACCCCTACCCTACCCTACCCACCCTAACCCCCACCCCGCGTACCCATTTTCCCTATAATGACCCTACCCCACCCCCTACCACATGTCCCCACCTCGGCCCCACCCCGATCCACCCTACCCTACCGCCACCCCCTACCACCTTGACCCCACCCCGACCCACCCTACCCTACCCCACCCCTCCTATATTACCCCTTACCCCTACCTTACCCCTTACCACATGCCCCTTACCTCGGCCCCACCCCACCACCATCCTACCCCCACCCTTCCGCCATCCTACCCCCACCACCATCCTACCCCCCACCCTACCTCGGCCCCACCCGGATCCCGGGCCCACCCTACCGCCATCCTATCCCAACTCCCTACCCTGCCCCTACCTTACCCCAACCCCAACCCCTACCCACTACCCCCACCCTTACCGCCATCCTACCCCCACCCTACCCCTTCCCAACTTCGGTCCTACCCTGGTCCCGACCCCACCCTACCACCATCCTATCCCAACTCCCTACCCTACCCCTACCTTACCCCACCCTTACCCCTAACCACGATCTTAACCCACCCACTACCCCCACCCAACCCCCTACCCCTAGACCTTACCACCCCACCCCGACCATACCCCTTACCCCACCCCCACCCATAACTTCCCTACCTCGACCCCTATGAGTAGGTATGGGTGGGTATGAAGGGTTGTGGGGGAGTATGGATAGAGTGTAAGATCGTGGTAAGGGTAGGGGTAGGGGTCAAGGGTGTGGAATTGGAGAACTGGGTGAAAAAATTGATGAACATGTTTTCAGATTTGAAAATGGAAAACTGAAAAATAGAAACAGGAAATTGGAGATAGAAAAACTGAAAAATAAAAACAGAAATCTGGAGAACGAAAAAGAGAAATAGAAAACAAGAAAATATCTCTGTTAGTAAACATGCTCTTAATGTCTAAGACTCTTGGGTTAAGTATGAAATTACCTAAGTAAATTATATATGTGTTTATAATGAGGTTTAAAAGAGTTTAAGCATGTGATTAGCCAAGTTGATTGAGCTTATATAAATTAAACTATAAAGATGTGCATAAAATCGGCATGAAAATGTTTATAAAACATATGTGATGTTTTAAAGGGCTAAAATGGAATTTATTGATTGTTTAAGACTTAATACATGTTGTGTTTAAGTTTTGGATCAATCGAAGTCGGTTCGGGCGGTCAACGGGCCGTTGACCGTGAAGAAGACAGTGGACTGGTGCTGGTTATGGCTTGAACCGGTGCTGGGTTGAGGACGGGATTCCGGGTTAATTAAATTAAATAGGAACCGAGGCCAATTCGACCCATTTTTTATCGGTATTTTTGCATGGTTTTTGCAGGGATGATTGCGCTTAGGCTATAAGACTTGACTTAGTCTTGATTATTGATTATGATGTAGACCCTAGTCGGGTAAGGTATATGGTAGATCATAGGTTTGGGTGGAGTACCCAAGGGCCGGGTGGTGTCCTCAAAACTCATAGGTTCGGGTGGAGTACCCAAGGGTCAGGCGGTGTCCTCAAAACTAATTTATTCGGGTGGAGTACCCAAGGAACGAGCGGTGTCCTCAAAACTCATTTATTCGGGTGGAGTACCCAAAACTCATTTATTCGGGTGGAGTACCCAAGGACCAGGCGGTGTCCTCAAAACTCAGGATATAATGGGTGGAGTATCCAAGGACTAGACTGTGCTCAAAACTCATAGATTACAGATTAGTAATTAAGGAATTGATGATGTCCTTAAGATACTTGATTGGACCAGGAGGAGTCCAATACACTCATAGGTATACGGGTGGGTTGGGATTTTAAGTCAAGGACTTGACTACAAATATTTCCTAGATAAACAATGGTCTACGGACCGAGTATTTTCCAATTATATATAGTGATATGTATTTCAAGACTTGGGGAAAGAATAAATTTATGTATCACCCTATGTTTGGGTCTTATACTTGAAACGTTAGTTATGCTACATTTAGCCTGGTGCTCGCCAGTATTCACGTACCTTCGGGGGGGCACCATTTTCAGGTAGAAGCTAGAGCTTGCTATCGGCACCTCTCAATCGGGTGACGTCACATCATGGAAGAGGTGGTTCATGCTTCCTTATTACCTTTAAAACTATAAACACTTGCTCACAAACATTTGAATTACTATGAACTATTTTGGGCCTGCAAGCCCATATTTTGGGCAGACGTGGCCCATGATGTACCGTTGAATATTTCCGCGATACATTGGTTTAAATGTGATGTTGTTATGTATGTTTACTTACTGAGTATGGTATGAACTATGTTCATGCATGGACGCCTTGTACAGTTAAGTGAGGTTGACATGCGTGTAACGTCACTTGACTGTGCGGTGGTTGCACACACGCGTACATGCGGATTCAGGGGGTGACATATTAAGCTAGAAATCAAGATTAGTATTTTGTGTATATTTGAGTAAGAATGATTGTTATTTACAACGAGGTTCACTCCTATTTATGGGAGAAGTAATTAATGCTCTCTCGGCGTTTCATCCATTGCTGATGGTTTTGTTCTACGATTTTGTCTGTTGTGACGGTTTTTGACCCATCATAAAGACTATGGACAAGTCAAATTCATTAACCCCCTCCTTAATTCTACATCTATGGAAATTGATCATGGAAGATAATAGTACACTTATAAGCGTTAATGTTGGTTGTTAGGACGTTTTTATGTATCGGTACGACAATTGATGTACTATTGAAAAGTACACGTGTACTTTAGTGAACAACACCCGAAAAGTACTACCTTGGCCACAGTGATCAACGATGTCGCCGGTCATAGTGACCAACCCTGTAATCGATCACAGTCACCAATACCTGATCATAGTGATCACCACCCCATCATAGTGACAACTGTCAAGTGACCACGCCTCATTTACCACTGCCATCCCCTTTTAGTGGCTACCGCACTGCCCCATCCACTGACCACCTTTGCCGCCCGGCCTAGTAACTCACATGCCCCATTACTACACTAGTGACCACCATCACCGCCAGACGTCAATGACCCCCGCCTCCCACCTACAACAACCCTCTCTCTCCAGCCCCCTGGCCCCACTAGCTCAGTCCAGCCTTGATCCCTCCTTTACACATCCCAACCCCCTCCCCATCCCCTATACAACGGCTTCCCCACCCAGACACATGCCTCCCGCCCCATTGATCGGGCTAAACTTGCAAGTATACAAGTGCCGATATAATAATAAAATACTGGTAAATACCGGGTCGATCCACAGGGAAATGGTTGATTTTATAAAGTTGATTATTGAATGAAAAAGAATATAAATGGTAATATTTTCAGGATGAAAAGAATACCGGCGTCGGTCATGTTGTATTTTTTCGCCGGTGCTTCGTTTTGACCGGCCCCGGATGAAAATAGGCTCAAAGGTGCGAAAATTCATTCCGACCGACGCTGGTTCTAGCCTGACCAGCGCTGGTCACTGCGCCCAAAAATGTACTTCATTTCCCTTCCTGTTTTGGTGTCCGAAATGGATCCAAAAGTGCCGGTTTTCGACCTCTTTTGACTTTTGACCCCAAATTTGTCGCTCCAAGCTGTATTTCACATTTTCGCTCACTTTGGAATATTTACCTGTTTCCGCTTCATATTTTGTACAGATAAATATAATTACCTATATAAAACATAAGTAATTATTGTGCTTATCACCCATACACCATTGTGCAACCCTGAAAATGGCGGCGACTAAGCAGCTAGATGAAATCGCATGACCACCATATACTAACCCTACACTAATAATGCATATTGCGGTTGGAAATTGACGAATTCCATTGCCTTCGCCAGCTATGGTCGCCCTCACCAGTGTAATCCTCGCTTGCCATCTGCATGTCACCACCATTGCAACCGTTAATCACAAATTGAGAGATCCTTCCAAGAAGGAGAGAAAGAAGAAAATAAAAGACATGCACACCTGTAATTACCGTGTGGAATGGCTGCTTTGTGACATGCAAATGGCGGCGACTGGTAGCGAAAGGAATAGCGAAAGGAATCAAAGTTTTTGCGATGAGGGGTACTTCAATCTTAATAGTATATCAAGTCTATTTTTTGTCCAAATCAGATCAAGTTTCTTTCTTAATAGTATTATCTTTGTCATTATTTCACATTATAACGTGTTACACATATTGTTTAATATTGTTTCATGGTAGTTAAAATTTGTAATCCTGGTGATATCAAGACTTTGAATATGTTTAAAGATAATTGTTTTTTGAAAATAAAGTTAGACAAACTTTAAGAAAATATGAAAACGTATGCTTTATCTAAAAAACATTATAAGAGATGAGAAGGAGGTCCGTTTTGATAAAGTATTATTAACTTAATTTATCCTCAACTATCATCAAATTCACAAATACATCCAATTCTTCAGCTTTCATTAATAAAGACTCAAATCTCATGATAGTTAGGAATATAATTAGCTAAATCAATATGATTAACAAATAAAAGAGGATAAATTTTCCCACCTTAAAAAAAGAGGTGTACAAAGTACTTCAGGTGCGCGAAGAAGACTCATTTAATTATTGCGTAAACAATCATGTCATTGAGAAAGTTAAATCAAGCTGGAGAGTATTAAAGAGTGTATTGTATATGGATTATGGTTGAAGTATTAAGAATGAGTTAAACGTATATGAGAATTTAAAAGTCTATAAGAATGAATGAAATGAAAGTTTAAGTGTATTCAAACTTTTTTAGGCTTTTAAAATTCTACATTAAATATATCTAAAGGCATAAAATGCATGAATTTTTAAAATTTACCACTAATTACATGTATTTTAGTCTACTTTTTTAACGGTCAGTTGGGGAAAAAGGTGGATGGCCTCGTGGCTGGTCAGTGATTCAGTTAAAAAAGCGAATCCACCCCTTGGACTCTTCACGTTTCAATGTTCTTCACCTTCTCTCAGTTAAAAATCAAGACTTTCGATTTCTCCATGAGAGAAGCACAGCATATATACTTGTGGAACAGAACATATAGTATATTCTTCCCTCTCTCCTCTTTATTGTAACCCCCACTTCTCCCTTAGCTTATAAAAACGTCATCTTTAATTTTTCTTCCGGCCAAAAGCAGAGGACCCATATCATTTTTCATTGATTAGCCGGAGCTAATTAATAAAGCTTCAGGCAACCCGGCCATCTAATGAGTTCTCCAAACAAGAATGCATTTTTTCTCTTTCTCTGCGTTTTTCTATCAGAGATTGTTTATCTGTGCTTCTCTTCTAAGGTACGGAGTATTAATATTGCATTGTACGGTTTTAGTGAAATCGTTTACGCGTTTTTGTTTCCGCAAAATGAATGAAGGTGTATGTGGTGTACATGGGGAGCAAAGCGGGAGATGATGACCCAGAAGAGACCTCGAAGAAACATCACTATATGCTAACTTCTATTCATGGTGGAAGGTTATTAATTACTTCCCTCTAGCTGCAATTTATTTCCGTTTTTTTAACTTCTGCAGGCCGGTTAATAAGTATATGATTATGTCCATCCCAAACGAGTGTTGGAAACGCACTTAAGGCGATGGATTTGGGCTTAGATGGAATATAATGTTTACTAGCTGATTGTGCAAAACACAAGAAATATTGTTTACTGGCATGGATTCTCTTCGTTTAGCAAAGTTCTGGGAAACTGTTTCAACTGCGAATAGAAAACATGATGATTACTTTGAAACGTTGGTTTGACTGAGAACAATGCTGTTTTCTGGTGTTTCATAGGGTCAGTTGGGAACACGGAAAATGTTGGGAATATAAAACAGGGAACAAAACCCGTGACAAATTTGAAACATAAGATGAAAATTGTTGCTGAAATAAGTTTGGCTTTAATATATTTATTCCATATACTTCGTATTCGTTACAATCCATATTTATTGATTTATATGTATTGATGTTTTATATAAATAATACGATGTAATACTCCCTACATTTTTGTTTGATTGATTCCATAAGGTTTTCACCATGAAAATAGTAGGCCGGGCTCTATTTTATTGGGAAAAAGTAACCAACAGAAATGAAATAAAGACAAATAGAGCCTTAAAATGGGGCAACTAAAAATAATCCAAAAGAAATACAGACCAAATAACAAATTTTACTTTATCTTTTTGTTGGGTTCACGAGCATTTTCTGGGATCAACGAAAATGTTTTGCTGGCGTGAAATTCTAGAAAACATTTATGTGGAAATTCGGTCCGGTAAACAAAGACAAATGGAGCCTTATTACGACGTTAGTTTGACTGAGTGAGAGATAGAAATCACAGTATCAAGAATTTATATAATCACATTCTGCGCATATATAAAGTCCAATAAGTTTCAAGAATTTATTTGACTGCCTTCCCGGTCGAATTTTGAGCTGAAATTTGGTATGGACAAACTAGACTTGATGAGGAACATGCTCAAAAAATTTCATCAAAAAATTCCACCGGGAACCGTCCCAAACAGTAAAGTTCGGACGGTCCCTCCCGTCCCTCCGGAGGGACCTGAGCAGTCCTATATATATATATATATATATATATATATATATATATATATATATATATATAATAGAGATCAAATACAAAACTTTCTTAATTACAAAGTACAAACTCATCTTGACCGTCCGATGAGTTGATCCAAAGGACATAAAGGCAAGGTGGCATTTTTGTAATAAAATCCAACTTTTTAGGGTGCAACTCGTTGCACCTTAATGTGCAACTGTTATTTTTATGACTTTATAATGTGCAACACTTTGAACCTCAATATGCAATGCAAATAACGTCAAGGTGCATCGTACAATTATTTGCACAATAAGCACACTTTGTACTTGATCTTTCCCCTATATATATATATATATATATATAGTTTATCATACTTCTATTGTAACGTTGAGATTTTTCGTACTATTCACACACCTTTCTTTTACTATGATTTGCTAATAATATACGTAGTATATAATCAATTGTTTATTTGTAAATATATAAATTGTTTACTTTTGTAAATATTCCACTAACGTAAACTTTCAAAGTATTGACTTTTTATTATGTTTACTGATACGTAATTAAATATAATAACAATCAAAGTTTTGTGATGGAAAACGTGAAAGTCAAACGGTTAAACTTTTATAAATGTATACTCCCTCCGTAACATAAAAATCTTCACACTTATCTTTTTCATCCGTAACAAAAAAATCTTCCCATTTTTAAATCTTTCTATCATACTCTCAATAATTCTAAAAATAATACACTATTACAACTATTTTTTTTGGATTTATCACACATTCCATCACATTATTTCACTATCTTCCCATCATACCCTCAATAATTCATATCCTCTAATCTTTCACTATCCTTAATCTATCTACTTTTGAAATGAGAAGATTTTTATGTTATGGGGTAGCATAAAAGTATGGAGTATATACTCCCTCCGTCCCTCAATACTTTGCCAAGTTTGACCGGCACGAGGATTAATAAAGTAAAAACTGTGTGATTGAGGTTTGTGCAGAGGAGAGAGAATTAATCGGAACCACAAATTCTTTACTTAAAAGGGAAAGTGGCAAAGTTAGTGGGACATCCAAAAAAGGAAAGTTGGCAAAGTTATAAGGGACGGAGGGAGTATTTCGTATTAAATAAATGCATTCTAAGGAGGTTGGGGTTGGGTTGACTGGGGGAATGATGAGTTGGTGATGATGCAGAGCTGAGGAGGCTAAGGCATCTCATGTGTACAGTTATAAGAATGGTTTTAATGGGTTCGCTGCAAAGCTGACACCGGACCAGGCCACTGAAATTGCTAGTAAGTCCAAATATATACGGAGTACTAATGGTTTGACCATTAATTAACAATATAGATTGTGGACAATATAAGAAAGATTTGCTACACAAAATGTGTACATATTTTGTTTACACTTGTGTCCTTCCTAGATAAGTTGTCGGTCATAGACAAAATGTGTACACTTATCTGTCCTTCGCAGACAAGTTGTGTACACTTATCTGTCCTTCACAGACAAGTTGTCGATCACAAACAACTTAATATGAGTTGTCTGTGACAGACAACTTGTCTGCGAAGGACAGACAAGTTTACAGAAAAGGTATACACATGACCAATATAATGACCGCATTTTATAATACACTTATCTGTCCTTCGCAGACAAGTTGTCGATCACAAACAACTTAATATGAGTTGTCTGTGATAGACAACTTGTCTGCGAAGGACAGACAAGTTTACAGAAAATGTATACACATGACCAATATAATGACCGCATTTTATAATACACACTAACGACGGTATCAATAATGCATCTAATTGTTGTATAACAGAAATGCCCGCAGTGGTATGTGTATTTCCCAATGCCAAGAGGATCCTTCATACAACCCGTTCCTGGGACTTCTTGGGCCTTGGCGGCCAAGAAACTATGGAAGTTCCTGGCTTTTCCACCGAGAACCAAGTTAATGTTATTATCGGCTTTATTGATACAGGTCCTTACCCTTCATCCTTTCTTTTCCTTCCATTTCAAATTCCTTTGAGCTATTATATTTGGAATTCCGAACAGACAGATACCAAGGAAAATGGCGTTTTTTTCTTCTTCAACTTTTTTGTTTTTACCTTGAATAGTGCCATGGATAGTCAAACTTGTTTCATCCAAAAAAAAATGGATAGTCAAACTTGATTCCAATCTCTGAACATTTTTAAATTTCTTACTTTTAGCGTAGTCAACGTAGAACGAATATGGGATGAGATGAGTTTGAACAATAAATGCCTAAAACTGACCACATTGGTAAGTCATTGTTTTAACGCATCATCATTATTCAATAGTTTATGTATTGCAATGCGTCAAAACTAATAGTTGAACGCCATTTGTACATTCATGTCATTATAGGTTCCATCTCAAAAAAGTAACTGAATTGTGGAAATGGAAATTTATCTACACATAACTAAAACATTTATACATTCTTAGTATATGGCTAACAATTTTAAGCATGTTCATATGTGTTAATTAAACTGAAGAGAGTATAAGTAGCATCAAAACACATATCATACATGCAAAACACCATAAATTTAGGAATAAAAATTGTTTCAACATATTTCAGCGAGGGATCTCCAACTACTTTAATCATACTTCTGGCTATTTTCTGAAAATGGAATATAATACGTAGTAGTATCAACCTTGTAAATTCTTACATATGCTTAAAAATACAACAAAACTGAACATGAAATCATTAGTTTCGGGTAAATTTCCTAATAGGGAGTACTACGTACGGAGATGCGACTGCAACACCATCTGATTTCATCATTTATGATGTGCTTTAAATTTCGGACTGTGGGTCCAGACAATTATTGGAAATCATATGGTCCTGCCCAATGAAGATACCCTCTTCTAATTGACATTTGTTGACCCCTCTGTGTGTGGAGGACCTCAAAATCACGTTTGGTCGTAAATATGATCTTGAGACCACAAGCGCATAAAGACGTGTTTGTGTATAATCTAATCGTTTTTATCATGATTCGTGAGATAAAGCACGTGCTAGCTAGAGAAGTTAAGGGAGGGAGGAGCCCATGGACAATAATAATGCAATTAAGAGTACAGTGAAACTGAATAGGAGTAGTATATTCTGTAGTTCTAGATGGAACCAGAACTCCCACCCATTGTTTATGAATAGGGATTTCAAAACAAAAGAAAAACAAAGTGTGATATTTCCTCTTAACGTTATGTAGCAGAAAGAAACTAAGCACCAAAGAAGGGAATCAAGTACTTAAATGCATGATTGGTATATCAATCCTAACATTGTTGTTGGGTATATCAATTGAAAGAAAGGTGATTTGCAAACCAAACTCAAAACTGCTGTATTTTCTTCTTAGCTCGGTCCCCTCCATCACATGCTTCTCAGGCTACAGCGAATTATGTCTGTGGAATAACATACAGGGCCTAATTTATCTTCATATATAAACAGGGATTTGGCCCGAATCGCCCAGTTTCAGTGATGCTGACATGCCACAGGTGCCAGAGAGATGGAGGGGCCAATGCCAAACAGGAGAGGCCTTCAATGCTTCAACATGCAACAGGTTTAATTTTAGACCACTCTTATTGCTAGTTGTTTGGAGAGGAAGATTTACTACTAATCATGCCAAACCATGGAGTATATGTTTGGCAAATGTTACCAACCAAATATGGACAAACTGTATGGAAAGATGAAAAAAGAAAGATCAGTAGTGGGGTTATTTTTAGATACCTCCCCTAAGGTATGAGTATTTGACACTTTGATGCAAGTTATTGATGTATTATTGAAGTGCCCCCTACTCTCTAATCCTATCACATCTAAAATGGGTTAAAGGAAATAACTAAAAAGTATTCTATGTTAACCAAATGTAAATAGTTCGTAGTTATGTTGGGAACTAATGTTTAAAAAGGGAACTAATGAGTATCTTACATTTAATACAATACTACGTATATAGTACTATCATTGTCCAGAAATATTTAGTCAATCCTAAAATTTGGACCATGACTTTGATTAATATAATATTATGGAACTTATAAATTTTATACTTTTATGAGTGTACTTTTAACAAAGAAAATTTTCATTATGCATATCATTTTTATATTGTAAATCATTTTCAATAAAGATATATAGGTGCTCAAACTTTTAAAGATGGCCAAGTAATTTGGGATGGTATAGTATTTATTGTTGAAGAAATTAAAAATAATAATATCACATTTTACCTGTACTAAAAAATAATCCGATCTACACATAATCTCAGAATAACTATACCTTTGCACCTCGTCTTCTTTCATTAATACCCGCCCAGATACTAGTGATCTATTGTTCTAGTGTTTATAATTACCTTTTGTTTAGAAAATATTGAACAAATAATTTTAACTTTCATCGATTTTCGATCGCAAGATAGTCTCATATACTTCCATCGTTGTTTTTTAGTCGCAAGATTCCAATTTTCACGTTTGTCAATTAAATGTTTGACCATTAATATATTTTATTTCTTATTATAAAAAATTAATATAAACAGATTTTGGCCATTTGAATTACATAAATGGAACAATATTTTCAATAATTAAATTCATAATACATTAATAGATAAAACATAGTCAAGTAGAATATGAGACAAATGTAAAATTCAACATTTTTTAACTAAAAAAGAACAGAACAATATCATTTTTCACTTTTCACTTTAAAAGTTTATTCTTTCTTTTTATTTCTCGACACCTTTTTTAAACTGTTCACCTTCTTGTTTTTATTTATTTTCCATGTTTATTTCCACTCTATAAGAAGAGTCTTTTTGTAAAATTTTCTCCTTCCATACTTTTTTTGTTTTTTTAGTTTTTTAATTTTCTCCCTGTACTTTTATTTCATTTCTCTTTTTATGTATTTCTTTTCAACTTGTTCCTTTTCTTAAAGATGTTTTGGCACTCTACCTTTGCTATATTTTCTTTTAACTTTCACTTGTTTTTTTTTTATCCTTTTTCTTATTCTTTCCTCGCTGTAATTCTACCATTGATATATTTCTTCCCTTTTCTGCATGATAGAGTTAAGGAAAGAAAAAAGAAATAGGAGAAAAAACTTGTGGAAGTATAAAAGAAAGTATAGGAGAAAGTAGAGTGTGAAAAAGATTGATCTCTTATAAAAAAATATGAAAAAAAATATGGGAAGAATAAAAGGCAAAAAACTATAGGAGGAGGCCGGAGATTTTCCGAAAAACGTTTTAATAGCATGGAAATAGAATACATAAATACAGAAAAGAATATAAAATAAAAATAACAAGAACAAAAAAGGATTAATTAAAAAATTAAGCATCAATGAATAAAAAAGAACGTAAAACTTCTGGGGAAAGAAACGAAAAATGGTATAAGAGACTATTATGAAAAATTTGGTGAAAATTGAGATTTTTCATTTGTTATTTTTCTACTGAAAAATTAAAAAATCTGAAATAACATATCATCAACCGGTTAGGGACTAATGAAAGAAGATGAACAAAGGTGAGATTATTTTGAATTCATGTTTAAGTGGCCGAAATTATTGTGAGCGAAGAAAAAAATGAGATTATTGTTGTCAATTTTTTCAATAATAAATATGACATTTTTATTAATACTTCGTATAAGATATAGAGTATTTTCCTTTTTAGGATTTGGTTCTTCAGCGCGCGTAAGTATTGACATTTGATTAGGATTTTTTAGTTATTAACTTTAATCTACTCCGTATTTGAGATGTGATAGGATTATATATAGAGTACTAGGGGGCACTTCAATAATATATGGATAAGTTATCTCAAAGTGTCAAATATACAAACCTCAGGGGAGGTATCTAAAAATAACCCATCAGTAGTGATTGGACTAAATGCTGCAGTTTGTATATGCGACATTTGGTGAGCTTAGAGGAGAATCTATGTATGATCTATGATGGTTGAAGCAGTAACTTATGTATTTTTTAATGTAAAAAATTATAAACTTTTCATATTTAGTTGGTCCGTTAATGTTTAAGTCTAGTATAATTGCTCTTTAGCCCGCCTTGGGATGGATGAGCTGTAGCTGTGTTATATTTTTAGGATTTGTTTGGGGGCATTAGTCAGGTTGTTTTCCTTATCAAGGACTAACCAACAACTTTGCAGCGCACATACGTTTGAATTCGTAGGAAATCAAGTGTTACATTAGCATAAATGTGAGCTGCTTAGAATGGATTTAATTACGTACTGTGGATAAATTTGATTTTATTGCTCCAGGAAGATTGTTGGTGCGAGATATTACACCAATGGCTACGAAGCCGAAGAAGAAGAGGTGGTGGGGAAGGAGTCGTTCAAGTCAGCCCGGGACAGCTTGGGTCACGGAAGCCACACGGCGTCAACAGCAGCCGGCCGTCATGTTGCAAACATGAGCTACAAAGGCCTCCTCGCATCTGGAGAAGCCAGAGGTGGCGCCCCTCAATCCAGGATAGCTATTTACAAGGCTTGTTGGAACTCGGGCTGTTACGACGCGGATCTGCTGGCGGCGTTCGATGACGCCATCGGAGACGGCGTTGACGTCGTGTCGCTGTCTCTGGGCCCGGATGCTCCCCAGGTCGACTACTTCAACGACGCCATCTCAGTCGGTTCGTTCCATGCCGTGAGCCATGGGATTGCGGTGGTTGCTTCCGCCGGCAACCAAGGCTTCCAGGGATCCGCTACTAACCTTGCCCCTTGGATCATCACTGTTGCTGCTACTTCTACTGACCGGGATTTCACTTCCCACATCTTATTTGGGAACGGCGTTAACCTCACGGTAACGTCAATACTCTGCCCTGCATAATTATATACCCCCAAAATACAACTTATTTATGGGACTCTGAGTGTAGGATTAATATAATCGAGTGTTTATCTACACGATTTAACTTTGCTGAACTAAATGGGGCCTAATTCATAACACAACTATCATATGTTCTCATCAGTTTCTTACTCTTAATGTTGAAAGGGTGAAAGCCTTAGCTTACTTGAAATGACAAACTCCACAATAATCATACCTGCATCCACGGCTTTCAATGGATATTTCACGCCATATCAATCCAGGTGAAGCCACTATCTACTTGGCTATCTATGAAATCCTAGCCGTCCATCCCATTATGATCTCTTCCCTGCAATAATCTTTTTTCACTAGTTACTGTCTGGAGAGTTCTCTGAATAGAACAAAGGCGACAGGGAAGGTTCTCGTGTGTCAACATGCAGAGAGCTCCACCGAGTCAAAGGTGGCAAAGAGTGTGGTGGTCAAAGACGCAGGTGGGATTGGTATGGTTCTGATTGATGATGCAGATAAAGATGTTGCTGTTCCCTTTGTCATTCCTGCTGCCATTGTTGGGAAACAAACGGGAGATAAGATCCTTTCTTACATTAACAGAACAAGGTTCTGACACCCCCCTCCTCTATGTTCAGCTGTCATCTTATGATTTTTAGGCCTTTGCCTTTGCCATCATACACATTAAGAAAAGTAACAAGTTTTTCTTGTCCAGGGTAAAAACAATGTAGCATGACTAGAGAGTTTCATATTTTCCTTCAGAGAGATGACATATTAGATAGGCCTAAGTTTCAAGAATTTATATTGGGGAGGCAACTTAAAATTTCAATGTAGTTTTTAGTGCTTATAAATATTTATATTTATACATATAAATGTACATCACAATTTTTTCTTGTCTCCACCACTATTACTCTCTTTCCTATCTATTCAATTGTCCATATATTTACCACTTCTTTTCTGTTTTATATTCTCTCTTTAAACAAAAAAATCTACATTCCTCAACACAGGCCCAATAGTTAACTGGTGCTTTTTTCCCTTGGTTTCCAACAGGTTACCTTTGTCAAGGATTCTATCAGCAAAGACTGTATTAGGTACTCGGCCTGCGCCACGTGTGGCTGCCTTCTCTTCAAGAGGCCCTAATTCTGTAACTCCCGAAATATTGAAGGTGATTTTATGCCAAGGATAGTGGGAGTTGGTGTAAAAAATTGTGTGCATAAAACAAAATGGTTTAACCTACTTACTGAATTATCTACAAAATATTAACTACAATGCATTTTTGAATAAACTAAAGAAAAGAATACTCGTGCCAAATACATTCCTCAATACGCGTGTCAAGTAATACATTTCTATTTGAAGGTAGAAATGCCAACTGAATAAATTCCTGCGAATGCCAGCTGAATAAATTTTGTCTGTTTTTATTTGTTGCATTTGCAGCCAGACATTGCGGCTCCAGGTTTGAATATCCTAGCTGCTTGGTCTCCAGAAGCAGCGGCAAAAGTGAACTATAATGTACTCTCTGGAACTTCCATGGCTTGCCCTCATGTCACAGGAATTATAGCCTTGATAAAAGCTGTTCATCCCTCATGGTCTCCGTCTGCGATCAAATCTGCAATCATGACTACAGGTAAACGTTACCTAGAGTCTGATTTGGCTTCACATCCTATAATTCTAAACATGAATCAGGTTTCCTAAACCCCAGACTCCAACTCACTATATAATGACGTTGGAAAGTGGCACTCATGTAAAGTTAGGTGGTTTAAATCGAATATGTAAAGTATGAATGAATTTTAAAACAGAAGTACTATCTTATACTACTACAGAAAAGCCGATCTATTCTCGAGGATTAGGGTGGGCTTTTTTGGTTCATGAAATTTAGTCCCCTGGGACTTTTTTTGGCGTTCTAAATAGGGTGAGGATGGAACCCAAACGCTACCCATCATAGTCTCATACAGCCATGCTCACCCGTAACAACTCATGTTACCTTGCAGCTACAGTTTTGAACAAGCTTCACAAGCCCATTTCTGTGGACCCAGATGGAAGAAGGGCAAATGCATTTGACTATGGCGCCGGTTTCATTTCCCCAACCAGAGTCCTTGACCCCGGGTTAGTGTATGATGCGCAACCAACAGATTACAAGGCCTTCCTTTGCTCGATCGGCGGTCATGATGAGAAATCGCTGCACTTGATCACCGGAGACAACACAACTTGTGATCAAACGCCCCCTTCACCCTCTGCCCTTAACTATCCATCCATCACAGTTCCAGCCCTTAATGGGGAGGTTTTGGTCACTAGGACAGTGACAAATGTGGGAAAACCAGTGAGCGTGTACAAGGGGGTGGTGTTTCCTCCAAAGGGAGTCAATGTGACCGTGGTGCCTAGACAGCTTTCATTTAGTCACTATGGTGAGAAGCTTAACTTCACCTTAATCTTTAAGGTGGCTGCTCCAACACAAGGCTATGTTTTTGGTTCCTTGTCATGGAGGAGCAAGAACATCTGGGTTACTTCGCCGCTTGTTGTGGGAGTTGCAGATTCCTAGATCGATTAGGGTGTAATATCAGACAGCAAAACTTACCAGCAGATACATCACAATGTATTACTAGTACAAAAAACACAACTTCAAGATCGAATGAAATGTAAATTATTGAATTTCTGTCTCTGGTCTTGGGCATTGTTCTGCAAGCTAAATTCTCCTAGTTGACCTCTTATTAGCAAAAGAAACATAAACAGCTTGCTTGATACACACCGAGCTCAATCTGTCAATTCTAACATTTGTCAACTTAAAACAACTCTCTGTTCAACCATGCTTTGTTTCATAAAAAATACAACAGTTAAAAAAATCTAGGAAAGCTTCAGAGAATTTATATTTAACAATGCTTTGTCCCACCATCTCAATTTTTTTTTGAATGAAGAGGATCAGCTTTTATATTAAAATCGAGAAAAGATACAAGATAACATCTTGACAATTATGACAGATCCGGTTGTGAGCCCCGTGAATAGACATAGAGTCAGCCTAGAACTAAGAGCTTAAAATCAGATCGATTCAAAATAAAAATAAAAATCATATACAAAAGCCATTTGAGAGGAAAAATTGTGATATGTAATGATTCAAAGCCTAATTTAAGAGATACTACGTATTACGCATAAGAAGAACGAAGACTGACTCAAATGAAAAAGAATCTTGAAATTGAGTTTTCCTCATCCAAAAGGAAGAAAACATATGTAATAACTATAGTACGTACAACAAACAAGATGTCACGAACACAAATATTGTTTGATTATACACATGTATGATTTTAAAAAACAAGTAATAAACAATGCATCGTAAACAAACTAAGTATAGTATCAGAGCAATATTTGTGTTCGTGACATTTTGTGTGTTGTATGTACTATAGTTATTACATATATTGCATACATAAGTATACAATACATGTAATTTAGAACACAGTGATAAACGAACAAGATGCACTTGTAGAACATGACTGATAATAGCGCAGAAGATAAAAGAATGAATGAATTATTATTTAAAAAATGATGACTCACTAGTGCAAAATATACATTCTATAACTAGGTTTTAATATGAGTTCAATTAGGACCGTTGTAATATGTAGGAACGGGGTCATTTTTATAAATACCAAAAGTTCCACTAAGTTCAGTGGGTAAGTATCATAAACAAAAAAGATTATCTATAACGGTTGTAAAAAAACCCGACATGAATAACGTAAACGGGGTCATTTTTCTAATTTCTGTAAACTTAGTTTACAAATGGGGTCTCTTTTATAACCATCAATAAGGGTTAAACTGGTAGCCGTTATAAAAAACATTCAATAAGCGGTCATTTCACCCGACACAAAAAGTGTCCGACTTTCAATATCCCTTGATACTATGTCGTCGCGGGAGCCGACATTAAAAGTGCATTTTAACCCATATAAAAAGTGTTTTTTTCACTATTGACTGTACTAAATATTAATCTATTGAGTAGTAACGCAAATAATATATATGTAAATAATAAATTTAACCTAGCTCTTATTAAGAACGTCATGCACAGTGACAACAATATATATGAGTGAGTGAATTAATAGTAGAGTAGCTGAACGATAGACATATAATATAAGTGGTGTAAGAGACAAAAAGTAGAATATTGACATATTGTATATGTAGCATCTATGGTGAATATATAATACAAACAGTACATAACATTGTAATTAATATAGATACATTCTTAGTATGACAAACATGGTATGAATTGATAATTAATATGAATGATATTTAAATGAATAACAATATAGATTGCTAATGTGTGAATATTTACACGTATATAGAGTGACACGTATGTACAAAACATTATAAATATTTTAGAATATAGATCATGTGCATAGTTATACAAAAAAAGTTGCGAGCTGAAATAGGAAACTGAAAGTATGATGAGTACAATAAAAGTAGTTTATAATGCAAGATAGTGTGTAAATTTTCACTATGTGTAACCAGTTGTCAAAGATTCCAACTGAGGGGCTTGGGTTGGGGTAATCTCCTTATACCGATGAGCTTACGCCTCTTTGCTATTGCTAATAGTAGCTAGAATAATAAATATCAGCCCAAAATGTAATTCGACACTACCTTTTTCAGCCCAAGTAGCCAATTTGGTTGGTGGTTGGTGATTTTTATGCATTTTCAGGCTTATTGTTCCAAAAGGTGGAATCTCCCGTCCCGGAACCCCCACGCCCCAACTCGACAGGGAACATGGGAGGAGGTAAATCACGGTGACTCAGTCGGCGGAGTAGTAATAGGCCCATATGCACGTGCGCGCCAAAGGTCCAGCCCAATTCAGAGGCTGGAACCTCCACACGGTCGCTACAGGGACTCGAACCATGGTCACTGATCCAAATTCCCACCACTCAACCTGAGCTACCCGTGCGGGTACATTTATCAGCCTATTTATGGTGCTCCAAACAGCCTCTAAATCACCATCAGAGAGAAAGCTAATGGACCCTCCGTCTCAATTTGATATGTAGAAGTTGACGGGGCACACGAATTAAAGAAAGACAATAAATTTTAGCTTTACTATTTACCTTATCTCACACAAAGTAGGTGTATGTATGTAAGTAGAGTAAATTTGTGGCTTTATTCATTTTTTCATACTTAAAATCTAACAATCATTTTTGAAATAATTAAAAATAGGAACTTTTGCAAATTATATTGAGGCTGAAGGAGCAAAATTAATTACAACCAAAATAAAAGGATGAGTACAATTAATCATAACTCATAAGTCATTAAGTCTTACAGTGTACACTGTACGTACTATTTTAAGTCTTTTAAGAGTTGTACCTTGTCTAAATTAAAAAGTTATACATTATCGATACAAGACTTATATGGAGTATTGCCAAAAAAACTATACAAGATTTATTGTAGAATTTTTGTCAGATTTAGTCTCTGATTATTGTGTCTATGACATTTTGATGCTCAATTTTTAATTTTTATTGTGCCTGACATTAGTTATACGACTATTCTGGAAGAGTCACTTTTAATCGACATAAATAAAATTCACATTTACTCCTTTCACTATTGTCAAGTTGACACACTTAGAAGTTATTCCTTTCATCTGATTGAATTTTTTTGTCTAGCTTTTTTAAGGTTTTGATGCTCAATTTTTAATTTTTATTGTGCCTAACATTAGTTATATGACTATTCTGCAAGAGTCACTTTTAATCGACATAAATAAAATTCACATTTAGTCCTTTCAGTATTGTCAAGTTGACACAGTTAGAAGTTATTCCTTTCATTTGATTGAATTTTTTTGTCTAACTTTTTTAAAGTCTGGTTTGATTTGAATTTTTCATATGCAGTCTGAATTTTTCCAATGTGATCAAAATTTTCTATGATTGATTTGAATATTTCTGATCAGATCTGATTAAATGTCCTTGTGTCTTGATGTTGAAAAAGTGCATCAGATAAGTTTTATTCGAAAAGTGTATCAGATAAGGGTTATTGTGCATCAACGGTTGAAATATCGCATGAATATAACTCTGAAAGGCTAAGTAACTTTATCTCAAAGAAACTTGAGAACTTACCCGAAGCGATGATCCACTTGTCCCCACACCTCCAGGTCCGCAAATTATATGCTATAGTTGGTTGTACCTTGAGCATGGTATAGTCGGGTATTCCTTGAACCGTCATATTTTGCAGCCCAATATAATGAAGCCTAACCCTAGTTCTATTCCTCCGCACTGCTGGACCTGATAGCTTATCAGCGTCAGTCAGTCGACGTCTCCATATTCGTTATCAGGCCCAATGTTCACCGACATAGTTCTAGTACTAGGAGCGAACGGCAAAACAAGTCACGATGATAGAATCCAACCAAACATTCAAAGCGAAGTATTCTATTCGTCTTCTCTGATAACCCTAAATGTTACAATACGGTATTAAGCTTGGAACAGGAGGAGAAAGCAACACTCAAGAATCCAATCTCTCCCCGATGGTGATATGCTTACCAAAACGTCACAAGATATTTTAGTTTCAGAATCCACGCTTAAACTAAGAAAAAGGAACCACAATAAATTGTTGTGTATGTTAAACTCAATGTGTATAAAGCTTAAAAGAAGTGAGCATACACAAATGTATATTTGAGCACACTGCACATTGCAAATGAGCTTTTGAATTTTTCGATCCTCATTTTGTACTAGAAGCAGAGATTATGATACTTAATTGCGTCGTTTTAAAAAAAATTATGATTTTTATATCAATGCTCCTTTTGTAAGTTATGCGTGCGTATTTTGTGTTGATGTTAAGTTCATTCTAAAATGATTACAAAATGCATATTTCAAAGTACTATATTACATTAGATTCGTATAGATACTACCTCCGTCCCGAAAAGGTTTGTCATGTTGACTTTTCTTGATTAATGATGGCAAATTTCAGACAATGATTTTAATTATTGTATTTGTATAAAATTTATAAGTTTTATACTTTTATGAAAACATTTTGAATAAGGAACATTTTGATATAATTTTTGTATTAAAAATATCATTGGTCAAAGGTGATTTAATAAGACTTTTGGTATAACGGTATACCGATAAACCTTTTATTTTCAAAGCACATACCGATATCATAGCGAAGTAATTCGGTACGGTACAATCTCATATCAAAAATATCGGCATACTTTTATCTTCGATAAATCCGATATTTTTTGATATGATAAATGTGGTATACTGATATTTTACTTAGCCCTAAACCGGCCTAATGGCCTTCCAGGGGCGGACTTACGTTTGGTTTAATGAGGGAACTTGCCCCCAATAAAATATGACTTTTCTTTAGATTTAGTGTAGTTCTTCTATTTTAAAAATATAAAAAATGCTAAGTGTCCCCAACGAAAAATACAAATGCCACCATTAACTTTTATCTTTTAAAGGAAAAATGGCAATGTTTACTTTCTCTATACAGATAAATATTGAGTGTATATTTTTTTAAGTTACAAATTTTATAGACAAGAAATTAGTATGATAAGATGTATATTTACTTACTTTTTAGGTAGTAATTAGTTAATTTAATTTTAGAAATGTAAGGTGGACTATGCTCTTCATTCAAGGAAGAATTCCCATTTTATTTGATGTTCGTTTCCACCCCTAAATAAGAGCCTGTTTGGCGACTTTATTTTTTGGTTTATTAGACTTATCAGCCAACTTTTTTATGAAACACGTTGATTTCGCGCGTTGAAGTGGTTAATAATAAGAAAAAGTAAGGTTGTAGTTACTTTTATGGCCGTATTGGCTGAAGTTATAGTATATGATCATTTTAGCTATTTTTTCATATAAGTTTTTTTTATTAATAAAGTATATTTTAAATATAATTTTTCATAAATCAGCAGAATCAACCAATACAACGACTTCAGACAGAATTTCATAAATTTCAGTAGAATCAGCCAATTCAGCCGATTTCAGTGTTATCAAACGGGCTCTGAGTTTGATTTATGTTTGATAATACGATTATCGGGAAAAGTAAAGTTATGTGGATAAATTTGAATATACAAAGTAAAAGTGAAGTATGAATGATTTACAATCATATAAATATTGTCACATATGGTGAGGCCGTTTGGAACACTGGTTTTTCGGCTTATCAGGGTTATCAGCCAACTTTTTCATCAAACACGTAATGTTTGCTTTCGCGCGCTGAATTGTGTAATAAGCAGAAAAAGTAAGGTTGAAGTTACTTTTCTGGCTGTATTGGCTGAAGTTACTGTAGATGACCATTTTAGCTATTTTTACATATAATTTTTTCTTTATTTTATTAATAAAATATATTTTAAAAATAATTTTTTCTTAAATCAGTAGAATCGGTCAATGTAGCCACTTCAGTCATATCTTCATAAATTTCAACAGAATTAACCAAAACAGCCGATTTTCGTGCTACGAAACGGGCTCGGTATGAAATAATTTTAATGAAACATACTAAAAGGGGAAAATGAGACAATTTTAATATGAAGAAGGGAGTAATGTACTACAAAAAAGAAGTTTTGTGCATATAAAATTCAAAATAGTACCATTTGTCATTAATTAAGGTTTGTTTTAAACAAATACAATTATAGAATGAAAAAAGTGTGGCACACAACCATAAGGAAAAGTGCTCAATTTTTAACTGATTTTAGCATTAGCATTAGTTAGAGGTTACTACAACAAGTTTTTGATGACCCCAATAGCAATAGCAAATGTTTTTGGATCCGGCGTTGACCATACACAACTCTTTTGGCTGCACCCCACCGGTATTCTGATATTTATTATCTTTTCATCATCAAGAACAAAAAACGGCTGAAGTGACAGCTAGCGCATTATTAATTCGGAGTAGAATGTAGAGCGTGATCACACATACCTACCCTCGTACTAAATATACACAGTCCTTTCCTCTTGTAATTAATTTCTCTCCTCCGATCCCCACCGCTCGCCGATGGATCGATCCACCAGCGTTTCGCGGCGAGACCCGTACCCAGCGGAAGAGGCGGATTCCGTTGAGAAGATCTTTGCGGGGTCTGAGAAGGTGCTTTCGTGGAGGGATCAGTTGACTTTGAGGGCATTGGTAGTGAGTTTGGTGCTGAGCATTCTCTTCACTTTCATAGTCATGAAGCTCAACCTCACTACTGGCATCATCCCTTCACTCAATGTCTCTGCTGGCCTCCTGGGCTTCTTCTTCCTCAAGACCTGGACCAAACTTCTCGGGAAATCCGGCCTTTTGAAACAGCCCTTTACCAGGCAAGAGAATACTGTCATCCAGACCTGTGTTGTTGCCTCTTCCGGCATTGCCTTCAGCGGTACGCTCGCTCAGTCCTACCTGCTTAATTAATCGTACGTCTGATTTTTATAATATCTCATCTTAGCCGACTTCAAAATCTTAGTCGTTGTATATTTGATCACTTGCATGATGCTTTATTTGGTCCATGTTTATCTTGACCTATAACCAGTGATGATCTCTTCTATAGACTACAGTAATTAAGATGAAAATTAGATTTTTTTTTTCACTTCTGATTGAAAAATATACTAGTATAATCAAGTTTGATGCCTGAAAAGATCAAAGGTTTCATTTATAATCTGGAGAATGATCAACATAATTATGCAAGTTTTTTAAACAAATTTGCATGTATGGATGTTAAATAAATTGAGCCAAATATTAATGTAGAGGAAAAAAGTGGTATATATGTACTAGGCATATAATGTTGGACCTCATGCATTCTTTTTGTTGTAGCCTAGGTATGAGTTGCCTAATAATTTAGATCGGTGCTCAACTCAGTTAGGCATATTCTTTACAATTCAGTTGGGCATATAATGTTGGACCACATCTTTGATTTTAAAAAGAGATGGCATTTTGATACTATTTAGGGTAATAGAAAGAAAAAGAGATATAAATTGTGGTTTTTAGATTCAAATTCTAAGCTGGACATGATATGGCGTGTGGGACCCACTTGATGCCACCCAACTACAACATGTGGGAGGGTGCGCTAGTGACCGGTGGACCCCACTGAAACTTTCTCCCACACTCATAGGTGAGTAAAGTTCCACGGTGTGAGCCCTATAGTGAAATGAATTCTTGTTTTTGTTAAAGAAATATTGTGAGGCTTGCCTTACACAGTCAGGGGTAGAGCAAGGGAGTGAAGGTGGTTATCGTTCCCCGGAAAATTTGAGAATATTGAGTAAAAAGTTTCAATTTGAGAAACACTAAAATACTTTCAATTTGATAAATCATGACTCTCCTAACTCGTTATGAGTAAAAAGGTATGACTCCTGAAAAATCAGCATTATGTAAAGTTGAAATATTTGATGTGTAATATCGATTAAATTCACAAATTTTAAAAATAACGTCTAATTCACTCATTACTAATGGGAAGTCTAAAATGTACATGGCGTACAAAGTATATATCAAATCTATAACTTTATTGGTCTCATTTGATCTACCATTATCTAAGCTAGGTGTGAAAATTTCAACATAGGTATTGTTTAAAAAAGATTCACCCTTTTTATTTTGTATTTAATTAAGTTTCAACCCCATAAATCCTTTTTTTGCTCCGCCACTGTAGACACTTACACATGAATGTGGAACCCATATGTGGGACCATGCTACATGTTAGAGCCAGCTGACTTAAGTATTCGTTTTAAGTAGTTTGAGGTAAAACTTTATAGGTAGTATATGTGTGGGTGTACATTGTAAGTCAAAATATTAGTTTGTCACTTTGTTGTATCATCTTTGGTTCACTATTGACTAACCTATTTGAATTTTTGGCTTTTATTGAAACGAAAATATTGACTATTGGTCATTTAAAGACATCATTCCATCTATTTCATATCAGATCTTGTTGATAACAACAATTTGACTTCTGCATGTGAATATATGATGTGGTTCTGTGAATGTGTATATAAGTATGTTTTCAGCACAAGTGCAGAACACATGCACAGCTAAAGCAGAATTGATCTTCACACTAAAAAGTCAACTCACCAACACATTTAGTTGATTAACTAATTAAAATTTGTGTCCAACTAATTGTGGTGATCATGAGCTAATTCTCTCCAGTGTTAGCTGATTTAAGTATTTAGTTCACCACACGTTTGTCAGGCTGCTTTTTGTTTCGAGTACTCCAAAACTCATTTGCTCTTCTTCTTTTTTCAAATGAGATTTAGATTGGGTGCTTTTTCTTCACAGAAAATATCCTCCAAGAAAATGATTTTAGGATGCTTCTGTATTTGAGATGTGAAGCACTTTCGATGGAAATACTCACACCAGACACCGGGTTGAAATTTCTAAGCATCTTAAGAAAAAAGTTCCAAATTTTTGAGGGTGTGTTTGGATCCAAGAAAATGCTAGGGAAAGGGAAAGTTACAAACTCATTTTACTTTTTATGTTTGTTTTACCACGTAAAAAGAAAATGAAATGGAACATGAGCTGTGTCTCCCATTCAACAAAAACGAGTAGTGTTTCTAACTCCCTTTTATACATTTGTTTAGATTTCTCATTCACTAGTTTAGAGATGTTTTCACTTGGATTTATGTCAATCCAAAACCACAAAGGACGTGATCAAACATAAATACACTAGAGCGGATAAGAGTCATAAGACTTGAACAGACCAAATCAAATCAAACTATACAAGAGACCAAACTTAGATTATGCTCCCTCTGTCTCGAAAAACTTGACCAATCTTCTTATTTGACCATCTCAAAAAACATTGCCAATACAAAATCCGTGGCACGGAGGGGTAGTACACATAATATTATACCAGTACAGATTTAAATAGACTAAATCAAGTCACACTTAAAGACATGGCTCAGATCACACAAAACTCGAATGTGTTAGTATAAGTGAAAAAATCGTACCTGAACAGATAGACGGGAGACATAAACAACTAAATAAATATCAACTAATATCTGAAATAAATTTACTGAACTCCAGACTGTCTTTTATTCTCACCAACATTTTCTTCTTCTGCAATCCCCCCTATGTTTTCCTTCTTAACTAGCATTTTGAGGCTCCGGTAGACTCTCAGTCGATGTTTGGAACTCTAAAATTGTTTAGCAACGACAAGGAGGAAATTACAAGACAAATTCTTAGCAAAAACGTTAGGAAAATAAAACATTGATTCAAAACTTCAAACTGATCAACATTTTCTCCCATATTTGTTGAATTTAATTTTTATCAAGTTATTTATATTTTATACAAAAATATTAATAATTATATTTAATTTCGTTTTCCCTTACATGTTCCTAGTTCAAAACAAACAAAAAAAGAAAGCAATTTTCCTTTTCAAGTTATTTCCTTGTCCTAGCAGCATTTTACGGGATCCATACATGAAAAATTGCCTAAAGGGTTGCAAACAAAGAAGTAAAGAGTTGACACACATTCAACATTGTCATCTACTCTGATCTGTTTGGATCTTATCTGTTTTTAGCTGATACATATGCACATAAATGAAGGGAGTTCATTGGTAATTCAGTCTTGAATCAATTAAGCAGGAGGTTTTGGAAGCTACATGTTTGGAATGAGCGATGTCGTTGCCCGTCAATCAACTGAAGCAAACAATGCTCAGAATATAAAAGAACCCGGGCTGGCCTGGATGATTGGCTTTCTCTTTGTTGTCAGCTTTCTTGGCCTCTTTTCTGTGGTTCCCCTTCGAAAGGTCAGCCGCAGATAATGATCATAGACTTCAAAAGTCCTCCCTCCTTAGGTTCATGATCATATATGTTATCATATACTATATGTTTTGATGTTTTTTTGCAGATAATGATCATAGACTTCAAACTCACATATCCAAGTGGAACCGCAACTGCTCTCTTAATCAACAGTTTTCATACCCCGAAAGGAGCTAAGCTGGCAAAGTATGTGCACTACCAACTTTAAATAATTTGATATTCATCATCATTACATAATGTTGACTTCCTAGCTGTTGTTGCTACACCATCTTTTATTCTTTCCTGCCATGCAATCACTCATGCAGGCAACAAGTAAAAGCACTTGGGAAATACTTCACTGTCAGCTTCCTGTGGGGTTTCTTCCAGTGGTTTTTTACGGCAGGGGATGCGTGTGGGTTCGTAAACTTTCCCACATTTGGGCTGAAAGCGTATGACAACCGATTTTACTTTGACTTCTCAGCAACCTATGTGGGCGTTGGGATGATTTGTCCATATCTCATTAACATATCCGTCTTACTTGGAGGAATCCTTTCATGGGGGATAATGTGGCCTCTCATCAAGGAAAGGAAGGGTCACTGGTATCCAGCAAATCTTAGTGAAAGCAGCCTGCATGGCTTGCAAGGATACCGTGTACGTTGTTATATTCTTTCTTCCTATCCCCATCCATCCCCTACGTCGCCGTGTAAATTTTTAATTAAATTTGTTATTAATAGATATATTGAAAGAGAGATTGAGTTGGCGTTACAAATTTTTGCTATTGCAGGTTTTTATAGCAATCGCCATGATTCTTGGAGATGGTCTCTACAACTTCTGCAAAGTATTGGGGCATACCCTGCATGGATTGTATCACCAAATGAAAAACAAGTCAGTCCTCCCGGTCGCGGGACAATCACCCCCAGAACCTTCTATGTCAGTTGATGACAAGCGAAGAACTGAAGTTTTCCTCAAGGACCAAATCCCGATGTGGTTTGCAGTGTCGGGCTATGTCACGATCGCCATTATCTCGACAATATCACTTCCTCACATCTTCAACCAGCTGAAGTGGTACCACATTGTGGTGATCTACATTGTTGCACCTGTACTAGCCTTCTGCAATGCATACGGAGCGGGCCTCACCGATTGGTCGTTGGCATCTACGTACGGGAAGCTCGCGATCTTCACGATCGGGGCGTGGGCGGGGGCCACACATGGTGGTGTTCTTGCAGGACTAGCCGCGTGCGGGGTGATGATGAACATCGTGTCCACCGCATCAGACCTGACGCAGGACTTCAAGACGGGTTACTTGACCCTGGCTTCCCCTCGGTCCATGTTTGTCAGCCAAATCGTTGGGACGGCGATGGGGTGTGTCATCTCGCCTTGCGTGTTCTGGCTCTTCTACAAGGCATTCCACGACTTGGGGCAGCCGGGATCAGAGTACCCAGCACCTTATGCGCTTGTGTACCGCAACATGTCCATCTTGGGGGTGGAGGGGTTCTCGGCACTACCGAAGCGTTGCCTCACGCTGTGCTATGTCTTCTTCATTGGGTCAATCGTCATAAACGGGATAAGGGATGTGGTTGGGAAGAAGAGGGCGCGGTTCATTCCGATCCCCATGGCGATGGCCATCCCGTTCTACCTGGGAAGTTACTTTGCCATTGACATGTGCGTGGGGAGCTTGATTCTTTTCATTTGGAGGCAGATAAACGAGAAGAAGGCTGATGCATTCGCGCCGGCAGTGGCTTCCGGGCTAATATGTGGGGATGGGATCTGGACTTTGCCGCAGTCCGTGCTGGCTCTCGTTGGGGTCAACCCGCCCATTTGCATGAAGTTTCTGTCCCGGAAGAACAATGCAAGGGTTGATGCCTTGATTATTTAATTTGGTATCTATATACTGCGTATCTACATAATTTTGTTCATATGAAATACATAGATACCAAATTAAATTACCAATAATTTGTTGATTATTGTGCATCTTATATGCCCTCCTCATTTCTATTTAACTTTTAAAAATTTTGTGCCCCATGCATTTTCGTGTCCATTATTACTTCTCTAACTATATGATCGGGTCATGATGACGGCATTTCATGATTGATGAATAGTCTATGTAGCATCGGTACGCGGAAACGGGTACGGGGATATGTCAAAACAAAAAAAAAAAGGTAGGATACAGATACGGGACCATATTTATAATTATTAAAAGTTATGGGGGTGTATTTACAAATATTAAAAGTTAAAGGGGTCTATTTATAAATATTAAAAATAGATTTTTTTTGAAAATATATATATATATATATATATAATAGAGATCAAATACAAAGCTTTCTTAATTTACAAAGTACAAACTCATCTTGACCGTCCGATTAGTTGATCCAAAAGACATAAAGGCAAGGTGGCATTTTTGTAATAAAACCCAACTTTTTAGGGTGCAACTCGTTGCACCTTAATGTGCAATTGTTATTTTTATAACTTTATAATGTGCAACACTTTGAACCTCAATATGCAATGCAAATAACGTCAAGGTGCATCGTACAAATATTTGCACAATAAGCACACTTTGTACTTGATCTTTTCCCTATATATATATATATATATATATATATATATATATATATATATATATATATATATATATATATATATACATACATATAATATCCTATGATGTCTACCCATTCATTGCATTGAAGCATTTTCCTTTTTCAAGATACTTAGTAATAAATTCATAATATTTCTCATATACACTAGTCATCTCAAAATATAAATATAGTCAATAAGTCATTAATTTAAAATGAGAAATAAGTCAAACAACTACAATCTTGAAATTAAAAGTGCAAGTATCCAATTCGGAGTATGAGTTAATGACTTAATTCGGATATAGCCATATAGGCCCATTATTTGATTACCAAGTAAATGTAGTTTTAGATTTTCATTTTTTTAGAATTTTATTAAGTAAATTTTGGGATTTTTTTTTAAAGTTGATACGGGTATCCGTCAGGATACGAGTATCGGAAACTTTCAAAAAATTACAAAAAAAAAATGGAAACTTTTAAAAATTGCAGATACGGCCCGGGAACGTACGGTACGGGTATCCTAGAGTATCAGATACGGGAACGTATCGGATACGCCGATACGCTACCCTAGCGAAGTATCCGTGCTTCACTGTGAATAGTGCAGTATTTGAGCTTAAAAGAATACTGTAGCGAAAGTAAAAGTCAAAATTTCACACTTTTCACATTGAACACCCTTTTTATTTGAATCGCAATTCGCATAGAGTGGTAACGTGAGAAATGTGAAATCTTCACTTTTACTTCATCACATTGCACTTTTAGGTTCAAACATTCATTTATTTAAAAAAAATGCAGTTGTGTTCTTAACTCAAATTGCTACATTGTTGGCACTTTCAGAGCCATCAGATCTCAAATTTAATATACAAAAATTACTCTTTTTTCTAGCACTAAAACTTATTCTTATTTGATCCTAAACTTAAGGTGTGGTTCCATTAAAAAGAGTGAATAATGTGAATAGTGGGAAATTTTCACTTTTACTTTGTTAAACTTTACCTTTAAGCTCAAATATTTCACTTGTTTGCGGTGACAAAAATGTTCACTTGTTTGCAAAACTGACATTGCATTTTAACTCAATCTGGTGCATTGTTGGCACAATCATTGTTTAATCGCAAGCTAGCTCAAGTGGTCACACATAGGCTTGGACCTGGTTCGGGCCACCCGGCACGGGAACCGAACTGACCCAACACTATTTGGGCCCGGTCCGGGAAACCGGGTACCGGTTCCGGGCCATGACCCGGTTTTTGGGGTATCCGGTCGCGGGTACGGGCTTAGGGAAAGGTGAACCGGACCGGCCGGTTCCGGGCTCGATTCGGGCCATTTTATTTTTTTTAATGTTTTTTTGTTTGGGCTGGGTTTAGATGGGCTGGGCTGGGTGTTTCTGATGGGTTTGGGGGATGGGGGGATGGGGGGGGTAGGGGATGAAATAAAAAAAAAATAGAACCGGACCCGGGCCGGTCCCGAGTCTTCACCCCAACCTTCAAAAGCTCGTCGGGCCTAGGCCCGACCCGGACCCGGCTCGGCCCGAGTCCAAGCGTAGTCACACAATAATGGTTTGGTCTCACCTCAAACGACAGTGTGAAAGTTGGGGACCTAATGATGTTTGATCATTAGTGGTGGTTTTTTCGGGGAGTTAGGCTAGAACATTATGACATACACTATCAATCAAGAACGAGGTGGTTTTTAGTAAGACATAGTAAGACATGTTCTGAATGACCTGGTTTTTAATCTTTTTATTGATAATACATATTGATTGTTTGTAATCATACACTAAGACATGTTCTATAGCAATACACTATAGAGTACAAATGTAGCGGTAGGGGATGTTCGCAATACATACTACCAGCGGCGGAACCAGGAAATAATTTAAGCAGGGGCACCATCACATAATGTAAACCACTCCAATAAAACTTAAAAAATTTAATCAAAAGCGCTAAGTAATGGTGCTAAATTCAACCTACGGATCCTCATGTTCTGAAAATGTTGGATAATAATCTCATTGTGGACGTGTCTAAACTCATCTCTTTATATGTAACAAACTACACAATCAGTAGGATTGTCTAATCATAATCCTACTCTCTCACTCCCACTACCATCTGTATGATCGTATCTATACTCTATAGGTGGCTCAACCCTAAACATTTGAAAAACTAGCACTCGAACTTATCGATGCTTTAGTCCGGAAAGAAATTTCTCAATTGACATTCTCATTCTATTATCAATTATTAATTTATTACAGACATCTTAATATATAATGTAATACTCCAACAAATTAGTAACTACTTTACACTACATGTGAACATATTTTTCAAATCATATTTATGAATTATAAAAAACTTAATAATGAATCATTGAAATACCAAATATTTAATTTTATTAAGAAATAAAAAATAGGAAAACATATAATAAGGGCAGACTGCGGAAGCCGGACAGCGGGACACGCATGGTGGTCCGGTGTGGCGGCGGCGGCACGGCTTACCTCTCCTGCTTGGAAGCTTGGGCCTTGCGAGTTGGCCTGACAGGCCCTGGATTCTTTTTTTATGGCCACTGAAACGACGTCGTCCAAATGAAAAAACAAAGCCACCCCTTTCCCCATCGTCCCTGTCCTCCAGAAGCTCTGCAACACACACATCCTGCTTGACGGAAACTATGGACCAGCCATGCGGCCCTTCCAAGCCCTCCCCTATACATAGCTCGTATGGCCGAAGCAGGGGCACCCCCCCCCGCAGATCCGCCCATGCATACTACACAGTACAAACATAGATGATTGTTTGTAATCCTTAAAAAAGAACAAACGTGCAAACTACAAAGAGTTACATATCTATGAAATTAAAAATAGCAATACCGCTAGAAATCAAAACAAGATCCCGACGGGAGAAAACAACTCTGTGAACAAAGCACAGTCCAGCTGAAAGCACAGTAGTCCAACGTATGCTTCAAGCGGCTGAAACGAAAAATTATTTAGGAAGATGGGACGGCAAACGCGTGAATTTAGTAATTATTCCAAACTGCCGAAATCCAATTTCCAGCGTTTTGGTTTTCGGCGGTTTCATCGGAGCCGCTATCCGCAACCTCTGTTTACCAAATGCAAAAAATCAACGATTTTGCTAGTCCGAAACGCTGAAAGGGTCAAACCCCCCATTTTTGGCTCACCTGCTGATATACAAAGGCCAGGGCCGGTCCTGGTATAGGGGCAGCCTGGGCTGCTGTCCAGGGCCCACCAGGAAAAAGGGGCCCATAGATTTTATAGTAGTTATTATATATATAAATTAATAATACTAAATATCTAAATTAATAGTACTTCGTATAGTCGTATACGGTAAGATATCAATCTCAATTTCGTAGTTCTAGATTGAGCCAAGGCCCACATGCGAGAGGAAGACTTTCGAACTCCCTCACAAAAATCGAAAAGTAAACATTAATACCAATCCTAACCAATTCTGGATTCAGTTCCCAAACGTTGGATACTCAATCTTTCCGCCCCCCTGATACAAATCATATGAATCTCTTCGGTCTCTTATAATCAACTACACGCTTTGCTTAATTGATTCAACCGTCAGCCTTCGTTATTCTCTGCTCTCAAATATTAAATTCTCAATTCTCAAATTCTTAATTTTTGCCTTTTCCTCTAATCTTCTCTAGACCTCTCAAAGGATTCAACCATCAGACGAGGACGAGCACTGCCGCACGGTGCTCACAGGCATTTACTAATTATGTAAATTGACTACATTAATTTATAATTTTAATTATTTAGTATATTACTTTATTGGTTTACTTGTAGTACTAAGACAATGGCGGATAGCTTCTGTCTTTTTCATATTTTACTCTGGGTTTACTTGTATCTAGTATATTACTTAGAAAATGGTTTTTAATTAAGGATATAAAGTTGAAATTTATTTATATCTTTAAATCTTTCCATACAATTGGCCGATTGCTATTTTGAATTTTCGCTTTTTAATCACGAGCTTTTTGTAGGGGATCATATATTGCAAGCGTTCATCGGTACTAACATCTATAGGGCCTATTTTTTTGTCTTTTGCCCCGGGCCCATAATTAGTCAGGACCGGCGCTGACAAAGGCATCCAATGGGTAACAATCAACAATTAAGAAATCAAACAACCAACTATGAATGAAATGAATGAAATCAATTAATATGCTAATCAAATAATCATATCAGACTAATCTGCTTCCAAGTGGAATTTTTATGAGATTTTGTGATTGTGTTTTTCATCAAGTGTAGATTATGCCCACAAAATGTCACCTGAAAGTTCAATCAGGAATTCAGTTAAATAAACTATTGAAAAGCACTGCGCAAAAAATATGCATACAGTGTTTTTTAGAAGAAATATTTAACTGAATTCTGGATTGAATTTTAAATTGGAATTTTGTGAACATAATATAAATTTCATAGACAACATGCTCATAAATTTTTGTGCATGTAGAATTCGGCAAGTTGAATAT